CCGGAAAAGTAAGTTTTCCTTGAAGCGTCTCAAGACCAGAACAGCGTGCGCCAAACGTCTTGCTCGTTTGCAATCGACACCGGTCCTCCGCGCCGAGGTGCCTACATAATTACTAAACTTTTTCAATTTGACATTCTGCGTTGTTACACACGAGGTCGGCGACGAAGCCAACGAGTCCGCTGGGCCAAAGAAAAAAGCTCATGCGACCGTGTCGAAAAACTTCACTTTTGGGAACCTCAAACAAGAAAAGATTCAATTCCGATTAAATTAACCGAACAGCGTGGCTGCCCTTCGACGCCATTATAATATATAGATGAATATACCTATAGATATATACTTACATACATAATGAAACAGAGGATAAATTAATATTTTCTCTCTTTTCGAGTTTTATTTGTTATACCTACTTTGGATTTGCAAAAGAAAACAACGATACTGTTATCAAATAGATGTTGCAACAAACATAGAATTTGTCGGATTAACAGAATGAGCTTCGTGCAAAATAGGTGGCGCGCATATGGAACCATAAAACGAGCTACCGCATTTACTAGCGCTCGTAAGTTTGCAACATTTCCGCGTCTTATCTGCAATACGAACGTGCCGGATAGGTATTGTTGTCAAAGCTGCAAACAACTTAAACAACAAGTATACATTTGAAAACATTGCGGCCGCATGTAAGTACGTACACCTTGCGCACGTTTAACAGCTCTCGATGTAGGTATTTGTGTATTAGATAATATCTTTTAGTACAAGTAAAAGTTCGCCGTCCGGCCATAAGCACCTTCCATTGACGTTTGTTTTACGATTGCCATCGATTGACGCGTTAAACACAAACGTTTTTCACTGACGTTTTTAGGAACTTTGGAGAGAAAAGTCAATGTTGATATTTTCATTTTTAATTTATAAAAAACTAACTTTTTTGCGCGGCTTAGTCCCGGTAGTTTTAAATAAAAATGTAATTTGTTTTTTCTCTCTTGTTCTAGATATAGTATGTGTCAATTCTACCAATAAGCTTCGCAATTTTATTTTAAAGAAATTAATTATATAAAGACTTGCTAATAATAAACTTCAGCACGCCATCTCGGATTCAACTATTTAACTATGATTGAATCTCAATGCTAACTTTTATCCTTTAGAAAAGGGCTGTCTTTAGGGTTTTCCGACAATTATTCGAAATTTTTCCGCCATAAAACCATCCTTGGACTTAAACAAACATTAAAAAAGAATTGGCTAAATTGGTCTAGGCGTTTTTGAGTTATACGCTTACCAACATATTTTGCATTTTATTTTTATTTTGTAGATACGAACAGAAACAAACAAACAATCTCACATTTGCCTTTATAGTATTATATAAAATAATAATTATTTATTTTCACTATTTGAATATTTGTAAAATATCTACAATTGTACTCAGTTTTCCTATACATAAATTAATATGTATTAGGTTTTTATCGTGTACAGTTATGCTAACCATGTTCGTTATTCATACGGGACTATGCAAATTTCGCCGAGCCGGCGTGTTTATACACATGTCCGTCCTGCGCAACATGCACCTATCGACCAAGTGTTCCCGCGGGACTTTTGGAACGCTTAGGTCGGTCTAGTATCCTGGTGGCATTACGGGGCACATGCGTGCTCTACCCATTCGGGGCAAACAGGTTACAACACACTTTAAGTGAATAGCACTCGCGTCATGCAAGGATGCGCGTTCGAGTTTTACATAATAGCGGAAAATGCTCAGAGAATCAAGAATGTCATTTTCGAAAAGTTCACGGAAATAGGTAATGCGTGCAATTAAAGCACTAGAAAATCATTACACTCAGTTTGCAAACTTTTGATAATGTCACAACTAATACCAGTTATATTTCTAAAAACTCTAGCAAAAAATGTTTTGTCTGAATAGCGCTGTACTTTGGGCCAAAGCTCAAATATAATCCAAATAATATAAGCACTTTTTCATGTGCTTTCAATGCTACTTGGCTTTTATCAATGCACTATACTGGTTTTTAGTAGCTCGTGTAACTAAAGCATTGTTCCCCTCAAAACGCTTCGCGTTCATTCACAGAATTAAAACTTAGCGCGCTTTAATATCGCATTGTACTCCCTAATGGTACCTAAATGCCATTGTTCAATTCAACAACACATAACCGTGTCAGCCCACACTACGCACACGCATTCACTGACATTATATCGCACACCGCCACCCAATGTACCAAAATGACATAAAGTCAAAGTCGCTGTAGAACTGTAGGAAATGAAAAGCCGCTCTAACCTGCGTATATCTGCAGGTTTGTGAACTTTGCTTTTCTTTATGTTTTTGGCACGCTGGTCCGCAGCTTATGTTGGGCAAAAAATAAGCGAAAGGAGGAAAAAAACGCGTGGGATATTAAGGATACAAAAACGGATATTTTATGATTGTGTCGGCGCTTTTTCGATTAAACAGGCTTCGAACTATTTTATTTCATTCCTTTTGCTATTCGTTTTTGTAACACTTTATTGCGCCGTTTACGAAACGCCTAAGCGACAGAATCCTTGAAACTTTCGCTTTCGGGCGTTGGAACAACAGTGCTCTAATATTGTTCTAACCCAAAGAAAACTTTATGTGAAAACTTTAATTTGTTAGTTTAAATTATTCGGCATTCTGATATATAGGTACCTACAACTCATGATCCTGCAAAAATAGAGGTATTCAAGGAAGATGCAAAAATTGTTGAAGTGAGTTATCCAAGTCGTCAATTTAAGACTAATGCTAAAATATGTTAATTATGCTCGTTTGCGAAGGTTAGTATGACGGATAATCAATTAAAATTATATGAACTATCGTCAAAAATACGATAGTGCAGCACACATTTGTACGCTACGCTGTCTTGTAGGATCGTTGACTGCATGTAAAGTTAGGTTTAGATGCTTGCGCCTGTTGGAACTTCGTAAATTAAATACCACTACAGCCGCCGCTGCAGATGCGCAATTTCAAGTCTACTCGTATATAAGCTGCAGGCCTGCGGATTTTATGAAACTCGGTTTACGGCTAGTAAATTAATCTAGGATTTATTAGCAGCCAAGTTATGCGTTAATTATAGCACGGCAATTTCACCAAATGCAAATATTACAAATATTCTTTTATGAACAAGCTCGCGCGTGAGTTTATTTATTACACTTTTATTAGAGCCGTTTATTTGCACCAATGCAGATGTAACTCATAAAAAATTAATCTACTGTTAAATATTTAATTGAAATTTTGGGATTATATGCGAACTGATATAATGATTAATAGTATAAAGTCATTAGAAACTAAATTCTGCAAAGAGTATATGTGTTAATACATCTTTAATATAACAATGAATCGCAAAATCTGTTGGTAAGCGCATATCTCAACAACGCCTCAATCAATATGACCAATTCTTTTTTTAAATGTTCGTTAATGTCTAATGATGGATTTTACGGCAAGAAAATTTTGAATAATTGCGGGGAGACCCCTAAAGACAGCTCTTTTCTATAGGATAAAAATTGACATTGAGATTCACTCATAGATATAGTTAAATTGTTGAATCCGAGATGGCGCGCTGAAGCTTCTTTATATAATTAATTTCTTTAAAATATAATTGTAAATCTTATTAATAGAATTGACATATACTATGTCTAGAACAAGAGAATAAAAACGAATTACAATTTTATTAAATACCATCATGACGAAGTCGTGGGCAAAAGCTAGTTTGGAATAAATAAATTTTAGCCCAGTACTAAAAAGATGAAATAGATGGAATAGAAGTATAGAAATAGGAATTTTATGCATGTACAAAATTTTAATGGCTTTATTTGTTGACCAACAGAGACGTTTGAATATTTTTTGCTTGTTCGGGCGATAACAATCTTAAAAGCATATCAAAAGTTTTGAAACTTGGAGAGAAAAATCTTATAATAAAACTTCCGACTTCCTCTCCTGGTTTATCCTGAGCCCATTCTGTAGATGGATAATGGTCCGATGGCAACCAGCGGCGATTTACGTTTATTGGTAGGCCGATATCCAACCTCCGCCATTAGGAGGTCAGTTCGTCTACATTTCTGCAACAAAACAGTTTGTTGTCTTCCTCGTTTTACACCGATTCCAATGCTCGGGCTCTACTCCGCTTTTATTTTTATCGCGTTTATATCTAGCTTTATATCCAACAAGTTTTATTATTTTTAATCCGCTCATCGATTTGCCCTTCAATGTAACGCCTTTTATTTTGTCTCAATGTGTATTGAACAAATACCAAAACAATAAAAAATGCTGAACAAAAATGTACCACAATATGGAATGAAAGCTGGTGGACCAGTAAATAACATTGGAATTTTTCATTGCTTCCCGAAACCAACGTTACGTCAAATTTACAGCATGTGCTGGTAAAAATATTGGCCGAAAATATACTAGCCATGCAGTTTACCAAGGCACCGAGCGTTGCTTTTACAAATAAACGCATTCGATGACAATGTTGTGCAAATGAATTTTTATTGCCTGTACAACGAGTTGGCAGAAATTTCTATTCTCATGTTTGCATCCCGTTAAGTTTTATTTACGGTTATTGGATTACCACATCAGTTTGTATTCATAAATATGCATTTCAGGCATTATGAGGAAGAAAGGTATTTGTCATGCTCGCATGAGTTTTATTTACAGAATTTTATCGATACTTGATTTTCTGGTGATGCGTAGAAATTCATGGATGTAAAGTAAAAAAAAAGGCTGACTAGGTTTGTTTCCCATCTCGTGACCGAAGTCACTGCAACAAGTAAAACAATTGATTCTCACATTCAAGTTGCACCTAACTGTAATTACGTAGGCCTAGTTAAAGCTAATGAATACAAATTGGATTAATTATTCATAAAGTATACATAAATCTTATGAATATTAAAATGCAATGATGTTGCATCATCTGCAAGCACCTAAAGAATCTGTAAATTATATATTTAATATATTTATTTAACAAAATTATCTATTTAATATTTAATTATGTCTACAAAATATTTTTTAAATTATTACCATAAAATATGTTAGTATAGATTTTAATTTGGAATTACATAATTTTACTTTTAACTATTAATCAACTTATGCTTACGATTATTACACAACATTATGGAATAATATGGTAACTGTGGAATTAAATGTTGATAATTTAAGTAATAATAATATAATTATTTTGACTTAATCGATGCACATCTCAATTTAAGCGAGAAAGGAATACATGAAGCGGAGGAACAGATCTTTGTAGGTTTTGGGCATCATAAAATACATTTTGTAAATAAAGTGGTTATGTACAGGAATTTGCAAGCTCAGTGATACTCATTTTCCGAGACTTGATAGGAAGAAGGCGGTGGAAGTGAATGCAGGTCTATATTCTCCTTCAACCAGGCGTGTTTAATGAGATCGCTACCCTTTTCTGCGATCATTATAACAGGCGCGTTGGTATTTCCGCGAATGATTGTTGGCATTATGGACGCGTCAATAACGCGCAAATTCTTAATACCGTACACCCGCAGTTTGGCGTCGACGACGGCCGATTTGTCGTTCTTCGGCCCCATCTTGCACGTGCCGACAGGATGGTAGATGGTAGTCGTGTAGGACATAGCGCAACACTGCCAGTACTCGTCGCTGCCGAAAGGATCACGCGTGCAGTCCGGCAGTGGCACGTCGACTAATTGATAACCCAATTTGCCAAGGCTGTGCGTCCGCAGCAGATTGAGACTTTGCTTGACGCCTTCCACCATCGTCAGCAGATCTTGCTGCTCTTGGAAGGTGTTAGCGAACAGTAACGGAGCACCCTCCGGGTCGCTGTAGTTGAGCCGTACGACACCGCGACTCTTTGGGTTGAGTAGAATGGGTCGAACCATAATACCGTCATAGTATGCAAGCGGAGTGACGGCAGTCGCCGCCGTCAGCACAGGGTCGGTGATAAAGTTACGCACATCAGTCGCGTCCAAGGAATACTGGATGTCGGCACGATCGCCGGTGGCAAATAACGTTTGAACAAACGCATTGACTTGCAATGGACCTGTTGATGACAGCGGCCCTCGTCTAGTACGTTGATAGTATCGAATATCCTCTTCGCGTTCCTCGTCTGTTACAGTAGTCGCGGTTTTATTGAGCCCAAAGAGGACACCGTCCATGGTGGCGTGATCCTGCAAGTTGTAGCCGACGGCAAGTTCTTGGATGACATCGATGTTGAACTTCTGCAGTTCATCAGCCGGCCCAACTCCACTCAGCATGAGAATTTGTGGGGAGTTCAGTGCACCGGCGGATAGAATGACTTCTTTTCGAGCGTAGGCCTCCACTACCTTGCCATTCTGGCGGAACTGCACACCAATAGCAATCTTGTTATGAGGGTCAATCAGTACCTTAGTTACCTGCGCGTTCGTGCGCACGTCCAGATTGTCTCGTTTATTCCGTATCGGTCTAATGAACGCACCGTTCGTACTTAATCGTTCGCCGTCGCGCGTGGTGTGTTGCAAGAGGCTGGTGCCAATCTGTCGGTCGGTGTTTTGATCAAACTCCTCTAGGCCCAACTCCTTGTAGGCGTCGATGAGTGAGTACACGTTCGAATCCTGATAGGGAAATATCTCGACCGTCTGATATCCGCCGAAGCCATGGTAATACGGATCGATTCTATCGTAGTTCCGGTTATCTTCGGATTTGCGAAAATAGGGAAGAACGTCGCGGAATTTCCATCCGGGATTTCCAGCGGCAGCCCATTCGTCGTAATCTAGGGGATGTCCTCGATTGTAGATCATGTAATTTAGGGTCGACGATCCGCCCATCACTTTGCCGCGCGCCCACGGGCATCTTCCGCCGTCCCGCGCCAGACAACTACGAGGTGACGGCTGAGTCTCGTAACCCCAATCTATACTCGATCGTAATCCGACCGGCGCGAACGCCGGCACTTCGGCCACCTCGGGCTCTTCATCACCTGCTTCCAGCAGCAGGACCTGGGAACAAAAAGAAAATAACCGTCATCACTTTGTTTGCCTGGGTGGGCAGCAAGGGGTCATGCTGATTCCCACGCAATTGTCCCAACACGTTTGACCTCAATTAGCAACTCTCACAATTCAAGAATTAAACAATTACATGTAACAAACATTAAACATAACAGAATTAAAATTAATTGTACGTTTATATTACTTATAGTTATTTATACACACCTGAGAACTATAAAATAGTTATCTAAGAACATTCTTCGACCTTGCATAAGAAAAGAAAAAAAGTGCGTTCAGCAAAAGCATTACAAATAAACGCCAATGATTGGCGACAAGAAAATAAAAACAAGGTGACTTGTGAAAGGCAAACGAATGGTCCGACCGTTCATTGCTCGATCCAATTTGCCTGAGTTCAACTTTAAGGATATCTGAACACCACTTCATTAGCTCATAGAAATTCCAATCGTCTCACTGACGCTTTAATTATTCAACTGCAAGCTTTTTGTCGTTCAAAATTCGTTACACGCGAATTACCAAACTAGTTCGGCATACTTTTACTTACATCATTGTATAAACATATTACGCTAATCTGTTTCTATATATAATTGCCATCGCCATTCGTTTCAGGTGATAAGGTGTGAAGCATTATTCCCGAACGATATTACTTTAGGTTCCGACTCGTTATAATTCGCCACCGGCTAAACTGTAACCCAAATTGGTACAAACGAACTTTGACAACATTAACGGGCCCCGAACATCATAAACGTACCCATCAGCGGATCGTAACGAGTAACGTGTAAAAACATTACGTGAAGAGCACAATCGATACTAATTACTAATTAACGCTAGCCATGTTAAACGCGTTCGGGTCTTTGACGACGACATTACAGCCAGGCATGAAACAATAGTATGAGCATAATTATATTTTTAGGCCGTACACAGGTGGTTTTCAATTTTTATTTTACAGTCGTAAAACGATGTGATGCACATGGGGAATTCGCGTAGGCGGGTTGGGCATGCGTCATATTTGCGGCCATATCTCAAACCCATAAACGCACATTTGCGGAAGGAAAGGATACCCACATTGAAATAATAAAGCTCCGCGCTCGCATTGGGAGGCCTTCCACCGCATGGCACTCGTTTTTATCCGACGCTCTTCATTTCGCTTGCTCCTATGCATCGTCTTCTTCCTGCTTCCTTCGAGGGCCAGCGTCGTAAATGATGGGGTGCAATCACTGTCATCACGAAGATGAATGAAACCGTATTATGGACCCGAGTAAATCTTTTTATCATTGCCGTATCTGCAATACATATGTGAGTCTGCAACGTTTACCCTTTACCAACACCAATGTTGGTTTATCATCATATAGGTACTTTAATCGGCAAATATACTAACCATATAGAGTTATTCTATGATCTGTAACTATGGGGCATCTATGATCTGTTTATTTAATATTTGCTTTGAATACATGTAGCGGTCAAATCGATGTGTACGTAATATTAATGCAAATCTATAATATAAAAATAAATCGCAAAATCTGTTGGTAAGCGCATAACTTCACAACGCCTGAACCAATTTGGCCAATTCTTTTTTAAATGTTCGTTAAAGTCCAAGGATGGTTTTTACGGCGAGAAAAATTTGAGCAATTGACGGAAAACCCCTAAAGACAACCTTTTTCTATAGGAATTATAGTTATAGTTAAATAGTTGAATTCGAGATGGCGCGCTGAAGTGCATTATTAGGAATTCTTTATATAATTAATTTCTTTAAAATAAAACTGCGCATCTTATTGATTGAATTGACACATACTATGTCTTGAACAAGAGAATATAAACAAATTTCATTTTTATTAAACACTACCGGAACGAAGTCGCGGGCAAAAGCAAGATAATATTCCAATCGCAGACATATATTTTTTTAAAAAAGCTTTAAATTAAAAACGTATTGTTGTGAAATTAATTTCAATTCCCCTGTGAACAATGTAGTTATTTGAAATATTTAGCAAAAATATGCTAGCTATAAATTTGCGTATAAGGGTAATAAATATGCCACATACATACATGATTTCTAATTAAAGCACTAGCAATGGAATCCAAAAATATATCACGAGTTACACGCAGGATATTTTTATATTAAATCTGACAATGGTACACAAATACATTCTAATTTAAGTCGACTTATTTTTTCAATCTCATTTAAACAGCCTATTAAATATGTTGTTCTACGTAAGTAATGTTTAACAGCCCAGCTCCACCAAACCATAAATATAAATAAGTAAATGCACTTTCTATTTGCATTTTATTCACTGGCTGTGTTACAGTTGTGTGCAGTCCGGTCGAATTCGCATTCTAATGCGTCGTTTACATAACACTGCGGCTTACCAGATATGGGTAAACTCTAATAATTTGCAAAAACATTAATCAATATTTCGACGTTGTTTTTAGTGAATCCTTTAATAAATGCTCTGCACATTAAAATCTAATCTGATGATACGGTAATATATATTGTAGAAAAATATGCGGTTGGCAAATATACAACCCACTATACATATACCGATGCTTATCAAGGCAATATTACAATATTTCCCAACAGTGCAATTTTGTTCTTGTTATTACTCGGCTAAACCTGGAAGTTGAACCGGTTTACAAATAGGTATGTTGTACAACTGGCTGCACACGCTTGATATTCCATGTCGATTCAGAATTTGTCTCTCGATATCGGACATCATTCGAAAAATCAAATAATAATAAAATTAAAAGAATAATAAAGCCATCTATATAGAGATGCAAGTAATTATTTTGATTTAATTTTAATTTTAATGCAAAATGCAAAAAATTTTGTCTTTTTTTTAATTACAACTTACATATGTCTGAAGTTTCAAGCTTAATTACTTTTATCCTGAGCGTAAATTGCTCTAGCGTTTAAATTGCATGTACCATTGCCGTTATCGGTTAATTTACAATACTAAACGTAACTGCATTATTCTATATTTCATTTTACCCTATTTTAAAGTAATAATTATTATTTTTATTTAGGTTTAAATGATTAAGTCATAAATGTGTCTACGGTGTATGTAATAATATGTTAGCATCTTGTACATTCTCGAAATCAATACCTACATATCAGCAAGCACAGTTCTACATTCAGTGGGGCACGTGTATCCAACACTTGCAAATATTAATAAATACCTAGTCGACTACGCGATAGTAACCTGTGCGCACTTATTGAAACCGCAAAACGCCTGCCGGCGTTGAAATTCAATTATAAATTATAATCCGATTATCGAGCACCTAGCCCGGCTAATGCTAGGTTTTAAGGTGCGTTTGCCAATTACACACACGATCAACAATCGCCGTTTCCTTTTTGCACTTCCTTCCGTTATTGCAGACCTCTTTTATATGATTTTATATAATTGTAAATGCCATTATCTCTTATTTGACGGTGGGTTTGAAATATTTGATTGGACTTGACAATTCGCTGTTTCTCCTAAACAGTCATTGTTAGCGCATTATGAAATCTTTGGATGCAGTTCGTTTAAAAAGGGATTGGCAAACTTAAGCGTGGCTGACAATCATAAATATCATATCGATTGCGGGCAGAAGTGTGCGTGCAGAATTGAAAGTGCAACGCTCAACGCTTTATGCAACATAACCTGATTTAATAAAATGACTGAATAAAAGTTTAGTGCAAAATTTTATTATGTACCCAGTTCAAATTTTTACGGACATAGCAATGCTGATACAATACATTTTACAAAAACATAAATAGACAATAAAAAGATTAAATGAAATATTCGAAATAAATAAAAATATTTAATATAGTCGAATTGTGTTTCAGTGAGAACAAAAATAATATTTTATATTTTAATTGTTTTACTTTGGAGTAAAATAATTATTTGCGTAATAAATAACCTACAGCATCCTAGAGCGCTGGATGCGGTTATACTTTATGATTATTGCGCAATAGAATATTTATCAGCTTTTTACTCTAACTACCATGCAACACTACGTAATTAATTTGTAATTTGTAGCAATTTCTATTATTCTATCGTGGGCATGGTCATTTGATATATAATTAATTAAAAACAGTAATTAGTTGTTTCAATATTTATATTTCGATGTTTATAATTTGCCTCTTTACTTCTTCTTCGAAAACACCCATCGTGAATTATTACCGGGCAGGTGTGTATTGATCTAATTTATCATCGTTCTCTCATAACAGTAGGTAGCAATAAATATACTCACTCGCCAATGATGGATTTCCGTTAATCTGTTCGCGACGACACAGCCGGCGCTTCCTGCGCCGACGACGATGAAGTCGTACTCCAGCTCACTGGCGTGCCCACCAAACGCATGATTGTTATGACCGAAATTGTAAAACGGATTCGGATTCAGTTTGTTGTCACGCGATCCGCCGAATAACGCGGTGATGAGCTGCAGGAAGAGGAACGTCGACGGTGCGCAATTCGTCACCGTCGTGTGGACCGCACACAGGGATGACAGATCGCGCGGCATCCACGACATGATTACGACGATCTGATAGAACGATCAATTGCAAAAATTTTATTGGATGTTTCTATGTTTGCACCAGTTAAATTCCCAATTATGATCACTTTTAATTTAACTTAAATCTAATACGGCATTTGCCTCACAACGCGACCGCACTGTACAATGCGAATCCCAAAAGTGCAATTGCAACTTTTCGTGCTTGAGCGTAAAAGCATTCACGCGCGCGCACCACTTCCCTTTCGATTGGCCTATGACCATATCTAAGGCTAAGCCATTGTGCCCACACCACTAATGCAAAAATATGCGCAAATAATGCATACTTCACGCACGCACCGCAAACAACGCCGTCTAACGATTACTTCACGAGATTGACACGCCACTTTAATTGCGAATTAATTAATTGTTTCTTTTAATCATTGCATGCATAGTCCTTGGCGCTTGGCGCAAATCACTATCTAGGTAGGTTCAGACTGAAAACTTCTTCCTTTTGAGTTTTAAGGTTTTCGTCATTTAATTTTGCTTTAAAAACCGTACTTGGTGCGCCAAACCTCCAAACAAAAACTTTTTGACAAAAAAACACAAATAAAAAGTTGGCGTTTACGGCGAAGTTTCAGTCCAGGAAGTTAAGTAATTAAACGAGTTTTGTATTGGTTAAATAGTGAAAAATGGCTACGTTGCTCTCGTTCGTCGTTTTAATTCAAACTTTTTCGACGCATTTATTTTCTGTATGTTTTATGTGCTTTATAGTTTTTTTCAACTAGAGTTTTTTCAGTTTGTTTGTAAAAAAATGTTGTAAATAAATCATTTTGATTATGCTGGATTAAAACATGATCGAAAATAATAATAATAAAAGTTTTATTTTCAGAACGTATTATTTATTAAATAAAAAGAGTAAAATGAGTGAAATATATTCCTATTTTGCGTAATAAAATTTTAATTGTAGATTGCGGAATAAGTACGGAAATCTTACAACTAGATAATAAAATAACCAAACTAGTAATTCTGGTCGCATAGTAAACAGCAAAGAAAAACGTTAGCATATTGACATTTTTGTAATGGTTTGCTTGCACTAGCTATAACGGAAGTATCACTGCACATTTGCATTTTGATAGGAAATAAAGTTGTTTGACTTTAATTTATGTATAGTTTTCTTGGCAAAAATTTATGAAATTCACTATCAGCGCTTCGAGTTCAGTTTCAACTGATTCCAAGTGCAGGCTGCACTTGCGCCCAGAGACGGCAGTAGACAGGAAATTGCCTTTGAATTGATTTACTTTATCAAGTTATCTTAATAACTTGCCGCATTCCGCAGCACTAGTGAAAAGAACGCAAAGCTTCTAAATTTGCAAACAGAGTTTTTAATGTAAAACTAGTGCAGTTTTTCTTTTAATGCAAATGAAAAGCTATGAAATAGCTTATGCGACGAAAATAATTGACTTCTGATGTTGATGACGATCCAAACAAATATGTAAAGTTTGTGTTCGTGTGGCAGTGCATGGTCCCTAAAGTCGCCCAACATCGAGAGCCAGAGCGTCGTCGAATGAAAACTTTGTCGTCTTTAGTTTCAATTTGCACTATAATATCAATTTGGCGCAGCGTCTACTATCCCGAGTCGAGTAGCAGTTTAAGAGGTTGACGTCTCGCGCTGAGTGTCGAAATAAATACGAAAAACGAAGCGCACAACGAAAGCAACAGGGAGCAGCGTGCCTAGAGAACACGAAACAACAAGCAAAATGAAAAGTACGGGCCTCGAACTGGCTTGAACTTAAAGAAATAGAAATGCGCATACATACTCCATCGGCGTGTACGTATCTGTTCGTACGCGTGTGTGCTCTCGTTTCCAGTAAAAGCTTATAAGTGGAAGAAAACGAGGAAAAAGTCTGAAAGAAAGCAGGGCGGAAAGACGAGGACGAGCGAGTGCTGGTAGAAATCCGAAGAAGAACGCGACGGCGGTGGAAAAAAGAAAAATGCGGAAACGAGTAAAAATAAATCGCTCGATGCCTGTAACCAGCTCTCCGGTGGCGGGAGCAATGGGTGGCAACGAGCTCGAAAGCGGACGTCGCATACATTCGCACAGGAGACGATTCCCTTGCAGACCCACCACTCGGAATCGTCAAATCGTCGTCGGAAAATCGTTGAAATCGAAACGAAATCGAGAATTTAAACCTTTATGTCAATATTTTCAATGCGCGCCGTGTACACATTTACACTTAAACACAATCGCACACAGACGCCATTTTAGTAAGTACCTACTACTACCAACCGAAGCCGACGGTGTCGACAGAGTAAATATATATTCTTCGATTAAGTTGAGAAAACATCGACGCTGTAATTAATAAATAATACGATCACAATGTATTTCGTTCTTATTGTGTCAAGTGATTTAACGATGAAATCTGGCCGGTTTGAGTAAGTCGGTTAAACCGTCCACCGCAACAAGATAATTAAATTCGACGGGTACAAATCGACACCCATATCGACAACTCGGTGTTGCCGGTGTGGTAAAAAACCAAAACTGATGTGCTTCGACCCAAATTCGCGTACAAATTAGTTAAAACCTACGGTGAGCGCAAAAAAGCGTAGCGCATTGCAAAAATGGAAAAAATCGACCAAATCAATAGCAAAGTCATCTACTATAGTAGCGAATTCAATAAACAATGAAATACTATCTGTTGCAGAGTAACAAAATTTCGATTGTTATTTCAATGAGTTTAAAGAGCATTCGAAATGGGTTTAATTTTAAAAATGCATTTGTTTGAAAAACACTACATTGAAGTTTATTTTACGTGACTTGATTATATTTGATAAAAACGTGAATTTTTATAAGAGGTTATAATTAAAAATTTTAAACTTGCAATAAGCGATTAACTATAGTTGGGCAATTGAAAGAGGTAACAGTTTACAATTAATACGAATAAATGCATAATTAGATATAATTAACATCCGCTGTGCAGGTAAGAAACTGCAGCTGGTCGTTGGTGAACGCAAGCATTTCCCACAACCGTTTCCGTTTCTCATCGAAAGCGTGACAAACCAAAACGCCACAACTGTTTTATCCGAATACTTTTACTTTTATTATTTGCGTGCAGTTTATCGTTGCTTCATTTCTTACTCCTCATTATCACACAACAAATTGATTATGTTTATACACGCTTTATGATTTAATATTCATTTGTAATTAGCAGTAACGCAAAGAGTAGTTTTGTATTGTTTTTACGTGCGGTTAATTCACAACTCTCGAGGCAGAATGCAATTAGCAAATTAAATTTCCTGGCATTCCGCGAGTATAAGCATAAATTTTTCATTATTTTATATATTTTTGTACTTTCCAGTACAGGTTCAAGTATTATGCAAATACGTAGAAACTGCGTACCTAAGGAAGTAAATGTTTCTAGAGCAAGGCAATATTTTTTCAAATACTTGGCCTTTGCATAATAAGTGTTAACCTAGGCTGATAATAATTGACTGCATTGATCATAACATTACATACTAGTATATGCCATCCTATAAATGGCTCAACTGAACAAATATTCATACGTATCCGCCGTTTAGTCCACGACGCGAATATTCCGCGAATCTGCATACAGCCACGGTAAATAATAATTATCGACTCCGATATACCTATTCAAATTAATAATTTACATATGAACAAAACCGGGCAGCACAGCGAGGATTTCGCCTACGGTTAAACAACAAACCTCCCCAACGCGCACAAAGCGACGTGCTACGCTGCTGGAATGAAGACGAATTTGTATGCAATCATCGAAACGAAATAATTAGAGCACATATACACCTATACGAGCGCCAACACATTCCAGTTTCTGTCAATGGGTGTGAGCTGCGATCCGCGGTTGGATCAACGCACCGCACATACATCAATATTATGTACTGTGTGGGCACAACTAACAACTAAACAATCAAATGGCATGTGGTCCACCCGCAGAGTAGTACTGCATCGATGGCAATTCTCGCTCGTGTTAATTCCGTTTCGCTAATTAATGCGACTTAATTAAAACCGTGCGCCTACACCTAAAAGCTTCGGGGCCTTTAGAAAAAAAAATGAGTCGCGCTTTGATGTTTGTATGTTTTTGATGTTTTGAACTACTGCTCGAACAACGGGGTACTAACTAAAACATCAACATCTGAATGAGGTGTATGGACACATTGTAGTCATACTGTTTTTTCTAATATTAATTATTTTGTATTAAATACTAGCTTTTGCCCGCGACTTTGTCCTGGTAGTGTGTAATAAAAATGTTATTTGTTTTTACTCTTTTGTTCTAGACATAGTATGTGTCAATTCTATCAATATGATTTGCAATTTTATTTAACAGAATTGCTAATAATGCACTTCAGCGCGCCATCTTGGATTTAACTATTTAACTATTACTATGATTGAATCTCAATGCCCACTTTTATCCTATAGAAAAGGGCTGTCTTTAGGGTTTTCCCGGCAATTATTCAAATTTTTCTGGCCGTAAAAAGCATCCTTGGAATTTAACAAATATTTAAAAAAAGAATTGGCCCAATTGGTCCAAGCGTTGTTGAGTTATGCGCTTATCAACTGATTTTGTAATTCATTTTTATATTATAGGTTACTTATACAACGCAATATTTGGACTACATTTTCAGCAGAGAGCTTCCATTACTGATTTCTTATAAGTGATTGGATGATATATCTAATTGCTCCACCAGGCACACGACTCCATCATCATGGTGATCTTGGTCGTCGTCACGGCGAGCAACATCATTATATTCGGATCGAAAACCAATCGAGTCTATCGACGTTGTGCCGTTCCATGTCGTGCAGAAAATCGCGTTCGCATGTGTCCTTTCTTCGCGCGGCTGGTGCACGTACCAGCCTAAGCACGTACTTGGCTCCTCGCTGCGGAAGCACTCGTCGATTCGTACGCTGCGCTCGCCTACACTACCAGGAGGTTGACTTTAATCCCGTTTAATTAGCGCTTGTTACTCGTTTAATAATAAAGTACTGCTACTGGGGCATTACGGCACAATTAGTACAAATGGACTTATACCTTGTGCAGCCCTGTAATAGAAATTCGCTAAGCGTCTTACGTCCCTCATGCCAACTTTGCATTATTCGCGTGTGACGTTAATTCGAATCTCTTAACGCAGCCATAAGTACTAGCATATGTTTTTAATCACACTGCAGAAGCCAGCGAAATTAG